CTCAGAATGAGGAAGCAGTTCTACCAGTCCGACTGAGAGATTCACAGGGTGGCCTAAGCTCAGTAGTCAGTTTCCTTCTTAGGAGGCCCCAATTTTAGAGACGAGATTTTTCCCAGTAAGGTTTCTCTGAGTGACAGTTCAAGTCATGGCCCAAGAACGACTGTGGAGGAAAAGCTGAATACCAGCTCCAAGCTAAGCCGTACTCACTGGCTGCTCGGGTGAAAACACTTTATGAAGATAAAAGGAGATGCTTTCAGCCAGGGAATCAAAGGCTGGGCCCTAACCTGGGAGCTCTTCTTTTGGGTGACCCTAAGAGTTGCTACTTACAGAGCGAGCTGCAGTCTACTTCTGTACCCAGTGATCAAGGGGGCACTGTCCTAACCAGCACTGTCATAGGCAGCTCAACAGGTTTTAGCAGTTCTGCTAAAGCAGTCTGCTTCAGACAAGGGCTCCCAGCTCCAAGAGAAGTCACCTTTCTATGTGGAGCCAGACTTCTGGCATGGTGGCTCATGCATGAACATTTGGATTTTGCTTATTGTGCAGTTGCAGCACCCACAGGGAGCAGCAAGCCCTTACCCCTGAGTCTGCTGGCATGGGATGCACATTGTCCGTGACACCCTGAAGTTACATGGATGAAAGACAGAGTATGTGAACACTGCTCTTCTAGTGGTGCTAAGCACAGGTAGAAGCCAGAGGTACAGATAAGCTAAGTTCTACACTAGGAATTTTTAACCCTGGAGTTAGAGGTCTGGGAAGCAGCTGAAAGAGCCCCAAGTTTTTGTCAGATTTTCAAACCTAAGACTCTAGAATTTAAAATTAAAGAACTTCTATTTTAGGAAGCAGTGGTTCTCACACTTTACCCTGCATCAGAATTACCTGGAGGGCTCATTACAACAGGGATTGCTGGGCCCCAGACCCAGAGTTCTGATTAGGTAGATCTGGGATTGGGTTCAAGAATATGTATTTCCAACAATTTCCAAGGGAAAGCTACTATTCTTGGTTCAGGGTCCATACTTTCAGAACCATGCTTTAGAGGATACAAAAAATCATGAAGGGTTCAAATTCAAATTATGATTTTCCCTTTTCAGACAAGAGTTCTAACAGATGTCACAGCCCTCTAAAGCACCCCTAAATCCCGAGAAATTTGAGATTTTATTTTTGGCCGAAGCGTTTGGAGAGAGACTCTAGACCTCTCCTTGAAGGTCATGAAACATCTGGGAAATAACATTTTAGAGGGCACAGGAAAATGCCTCCAGGAACTTAAAAGCCCAAGCAAAACTCAGCTGGAAACTACACAACTGATTCTAGCTGATCCAATTAGTGGCCAACTGTTGGTGAATAGTGAGGTTTGGAGAATCTGGAAGCACCCAGGTTCTCTCCTACTAGAATCTGCTTCCTGACCCTTTTTATTGAGCTTACATCTAAAGCCACATGGGATTAGACAGAAGTTCTGCTCTAAGGAAGAAAAAGTATTTGCAAGGGGCTAGTATCTGGCAAATAGAAGGAAACTGACAACTCAGTGAGACAAAGTTCAAGACCCTCATTCACAGAACCTTTTGTTCAGGTCATTGTCAGGAATAGTACTCAGGGCCATGCTTACTTTAAGCAAGACCAGTAGACAGAGCCATTTAATAGTTTAATTCAGACTTGCTCTGAGTAAGTCATTTCCCCATGAAAGGGAGGAAGAAATGAAAATGTGGATTCATTTATGAATCAACTTCCAGAACAGGAAATGTGGCTTTTGAGCTATGCAGAGGAACTCTTGGCTGTATAGGCAACATTGGGTGTACTGTCCTGCTAAACATGCCATGAGTGCCTGGGTGTGGTAGCGAACACCCATAATCCCAGAACTCTAGAAACTAAGGCAGGAGGACTGCTGTGAGTTCAAGGCCAGCCTGGACTACTTAGTGAGCATAAGGCCTTGTTTCAAACCAAACCCAATCCAACCCAATCAGACCAGACCAGACCATAAATAAACCATGAGGTAAGATAATGTCAAAGGAGATGTTACATATTAGGGAATGTGGAGGCAGAACCTCATAGGGCAGCTAGTTAGTAAGGGTAACTGATACCATGGATGTGCTTTGGTATCAGCCTACTTGGACTTTGAATTCTGACTGTAGAGCACTGGGCATGTTAATTTTTCTGTACCTTACTGTTCTCATCTGTAAAATGGGGGCAATAATAGTGCTTATCTCATAGTGTTGCAGTAAGAATGAAATGAAGTCACCTAGGTAAAATGCTTAGCTTTGGGCCTTGAGTATTTTAAGCATTTAAGGTTTAAAAAAATGGTGACTTTAGAAAAATTTAGGATGGTGGCACCCTTTGTGCCACTGCCAATCTCCATGGGAGGCTCACTGAATTCTGTGGTGTAAGTCCAGCAGGATGGGAGAGACAGCATGCCAACAATATGGGATTAATTGAATCACTCTGCTGGCTATATGCTGGGAATATCCTATTCTTTTAAACATTGCAATATTCAATGAATCTGTTTGTGACATTCCTTTACTGCCAATCTAAGTATCTAATTGTTTGATTTGAACAAATCAGAGTGAGTAAAAATCAATGTTGGTAGGAAAACTGGAGATGTACAAGGTTAAGGTGGAATCCCCATTTTCAGGAAAAAGATGTGGCTCCCCCTACTTAAGTTCCAGAAATGTAGTGCAACATCCTGAAGCGAGTGGTGGAGGTATGTGCAGGAGTTCAGGAGAGCTAGCGGTCTTGACACTGTAAAGGAGGGATCCCTTTCCTCTGATCCTAAAAGAGCAGAAATTCTCTCAAAACCCAGTACCTCAAATGAAAAAGTCCTATTTGCTTAGAAAGCAACTGTTACTGGAACTAGCAACAAAGAGGTTTCTAAAAACCATGCAAAAGTGCCAAAATACACTACATACCACATGGTCAAATGAAGGTTTATATCCACTGGAGGTGGGAGTAGGAAAAGATTGCCAATTATATCATGGTAGAAAAGGAGTGCTAAAGAAAAGTGACAAAAAGTTCATGAGCACATTATGCTGGAGTCCTTTTTTGAGGGGCCTTATGGCCCTACTAGCCTTCTTGCCTTGTAATCATACTGATCCCATTCTGGGATGCTCCCCTTGTGGCCCTTTAGTAGGACCTCCCCTCAAGGCCTCTTGCTCTCACACTGACTGCTGGACATGTTGATCACGGTCCTGTTTGGAGTCTTACAACATTAAGGCCACAGGACAGTTACAAATGGGCCTAGTCCCTGGCTTTTCACTCCTATATATTTACTGGAAGCAAATTTTGGCTAATTTTTTCATCACATCCTCATGTTCTTCAGAACATTCCTCTCAGACTGGGACCCAGAGATTTATCTTATCCCACCTTGAGGAGAGGGCAGAATCTGGCCTCTCTTTTCAGGAAGTATTCAACTGTCTTCTTTGTGATCCTAAAATCAGAAGCACCACAGAACCTAAAGAAAACTAGTTTCTTAGGCACTCCACCTACCTCTCTAAAACAGTGGCACCCTTGGATTTTTTTAATACTAGGGGGTTAAACCCAGGGCCTTGTGCTGGGATGAAAGGCATGTACCAGCATCCCCAGCTTGGCTTTAGTTTTTGATAGTAAAATTTCTTGTTTTTATGACCTGGTAGTTGTCAGGTGTGGAAATTATTCCAATCCCATTGTTCTTTACAAACAGGTGCTATTTTAGCAAGAAAACCAACAAAACAGTAATTACAATAACAAATTCTCTTAGGATTCATCTAGGGAAGTCTGAAACCCTAATACTATGAATGATGCATCAGTTTTTAGAATATGATTGTCATGTATATTTAAATAACATTGGAAGATATGCCACAGTAAAATTTTTGCCAAGAAGCTTGGAGACCTACTTATTCTCGGCCTTCCTTATATCCAGCCTGAAAGTAAGTAAAAAAACATCAAAAATGATAAAATGGAGCAAGCTACAAGTAAAACATCAAATTCAGCTGGGTGTGGTGGTGCACACCTATAATCCTAAAATCAGAACCTGGAAGGCTTATGCCAGAGGATCCCTGAGAGTTTGACGCTAGCCTGGGCTACACAGTGAGTTCAAGGCCAGTCTGCTCTACAAAACACCTGTTTCAAAAACAAATAACTTCAAACTCTACTTCTAGCAGTTGATGAAAATATGTATCTGAGGTCTTTACTAGTTTTTTTATTTAAAATGTGGAGTAGTTCTCTTTAGTTAATCTGCTCTTCCAGGAGTTTCCAATGAAACTATCCTGAAAAAACCAGGTGTGGTGGTGCACCACTGTAATCCTAGGACTTGGAAGGCTGAGGCAGAAGGATTGTTGTGAGTTTGAGGCCGACCTGGGCTATCTAGTGAGTTCAAGGCCAGTCTGAACTGCATAATGAGAACCTGTCTCAAGAAGCAAACAAACAAACAAAAATATTCTGAAAGATCATTCTCTTGTCATGATTTTTAAGAGGTTTTGTTTGTTTGTTTTGGTGCTGGGGATTGAATCCAGGACCTGAAGCATGCTAGGCAAGTACTCTGCCACTGAGGTATAATCCCAGGCCCAGTGGATCTTATTCTAAAGCACAACTATTTTCTGTAGAGGATTCTATCTCTTGTGATGGACTCACCTGTTAACCTTTTCTACTACCCTAAGTCAACTTCAAATTTAAAATGACAGGAAACAGAAAACCTTCCACAGGAAATAACATGAACTATAGGAAAAAATTTTCCTTCTCCAATTTGATGGCTTCATTAACTCTTGCACCATCAGAGAAAACAGACTCAAGAAGCCAGACAGGGAGCTAGTCACATAAAATCTTGAAAATAAACAAATTTGTTTTAATAAAATAGAAAGTAGCAATCTTACAGCTTGAAACAACAACTTAATGCCACAGCCACTTAATGATTATAATGAGCAAGCAGTATACCTGCTGCCTAGTTCTAAAAATAGTTATCATTAAAAATAAAAATCAAAGAGCCACCCGACCACTCCCCACCAAAAGCACTGAAACAAAAGACTGATCTGTTTATATAGTCACATGAAAAATAAACATCTTTATTTTTTTGCCTACTTTATTTCATTTTTCCAAATAAAATTTAAATCTGTACAAAGTATACTGTTACAGTATATATTTTGTAAGAATCAATGCCTAAAAGAATCACAATACTTCAATAAGCAGTACAGCAGACCTCGCTAGTTTCAGCTTTGATATTGAACAAACTCAAGCTGGCTGATGCACAACACGTTTGCTTGGTTTCCACATGGTGAGTTCCCAGCACTGAGATGGGAGAACATGACAGCAAATATGGTTATATTACAGCCAACACACTGCGCTTCTTCATGTGATAATAACTGCACATATTTAATACAGGATGCTCAAATTTACTTTTTAAATTGCATTTGCTTATTTTTTTAGTTGGCAAAAGTCAACATTCTTGAATGGGGTCCCCAAAGAGTGCAAATTAATGATATTCTGCTATATATTGGCACATCTCCAATAAGGATTAACTTGTAAACTCAAAGAATATCAACAACTTTGTCCTAAATTTTAACTAATGTACATCTGGTCCATTTAACCAAAGTCATTTTGGAAAGATAATAAAGAACAATTCTGTTCCTGAAAGGATATTGTTTTGACCATTCTTTAGAGAAGATAAATTTTTAAATTGTCATTAAAATGTTTTACTATAAAAATTTTACAAACTTGATTAGAAATTTCAAGATGATGATTCACAGCAGACAAATACAAACTGTTTATATTCCAACAATATCTACTCTTAGACTTTCAAATCGAGAACAATCATGTCAGCTGTGTTAACTAAAATTCTGAACAGTGTACTAAATTTGTAAGTGGTGCTGGGTCTAGCAAGTGTAAATACACAGTATATTTCAATGAAAAGAATTGTCTTCTTTATACTTTATTTGTTTTCCCATAAGGAAACATTAATGTTTACATTCTTTAATAAAGTTAATCTTACATCAGAATATAACTTAATACTGTCAGCAACAGGGACCACACACAGTAAATAAGAAGCACATTTAAAATAGGTCTGAATTCACATAGATTAACATTTGTTGGTTAATAAAATATTGACAGTATTACAATCTTACAATATTTACAGTAAGAAAAATCTAGAGTAATATATACCTTTCACAGCAGGATTCCTTTTTAAAAATTTCTTCCAGTTTGGGATTGTGTATACACGAAAAGCTCAAAATAAAGCAACTCTGTAATATAATCTTAAAATAATGGCTACTAGGGGGAAATTCTATCACAACCATTGAAAATAATGGTGACTTCTCACGGAGTCTGTGGCATCTGAGAACCTAGTTAATTAACCAAAGTCTTGCTCAAACCAGCCTCAGTTACCCAGATTAAAGCTGCAGAACTCCGGCCTTCCCTGACCGCTGAAAACCCAACAGATTTCCTCATCATGCTATAAGAGGGAAAATTGGTTTCAGCTCATACCTCATGGCTGGAAGCCTCCGGCCAGTGCACATTCCCTAAATTATGCTTAAAAGAGGGCCAATTTCATTCCCTTAGCATCACAAGAGCTCATCCTCCAGTCACAGTGCATCCTGACACCAAGCTCACTCATTCCTCAACCCTTGTGCATTGGGATAAGGCATGAATTTGGCCCATATAATACACACCAGTATCTTAGAGACTTGGGACCAGGGCAAAGAAACAGACTAGTGTAGTTTGCATTGAGATTAACAGGAAAAATGGGAAGTGATGCACATTTCCAATTAGAATGACAAGAAGACCCACATCCCTAAACTGGAGCTTGGCCAGGGCATCAGAGTTAGCACCCCCTCTCTGAGTACCACAAGCAATTCGCATGTGTGCTCTAGGCCTCTACTAAGAGAGAGCATCTATGTTAAGTAACACAGTGTGGGACATTAGTTCAGTGACGACTCCCAAGAATGCAGATACAATTGTTGAATCTGGGGCTGTCTACATCACCTGAGGTCAATCATCCGAGCTGTGATCTGTCCCAACCCTGCTTACTTTATCTGATGGGCACAGAGCACTCAGGGATACGGCTGCTGGCTACTTTGGACTCTAGATCTCACAGGTAATCAACAGGTATCTGGGATTGAATTAGCAAACTGTACCATGGCTCCTTAAACAGACACTGTCAGGTTTGAAATCATGTCAAGCATGAATCTTCACTGTCAGGTCAGAAATCAAAGTGGGAGTTTTCCCACATCAGCCAAGGTTATTATGTCAAAACCTTAGAGGAGTTGGACAGTTTTTCACGTTGCAAGTGATTAGTGTACTTATTTCAGTCAAGCTGGATTGACAAACCAGACTGATCTATTTAGTTTTGTTTTTGACTCTTACATATGTGCTAACCCAAAGCTGTAGTATTTTGGGTTAAATACACTGACAGAGAAAATTCAAACAACAAAAGTTTCAGCAAACTTCTGTGGCATATTCATTTTGGAAGTCAATGCAAGATCTAAGGTATTTCTACCCAACAAGGTCTGTTTAAGTGTTTAACGTTACTTCCTTTTTGGTCCTATACAGAATGCTATGACTTCTATATAGGTCTGAATGCTGCTCCATGTAGATTCCTTCTGTATATCTAAAAATATATACTTCTCAGTAGTTCAATACATGGTTAATCTTCCCACAGAGGAAGATTTTTATAATCACATGTTGCAAAGTAGAAAAACATCTCCTTTCTAAGAAAGGAAATATACTTTCCTATTGTACACTTTTGAATAAGCCCAAAGGCATGCACCAAAAATCATTATTAAAACTAACACATGCACTAAAATGGTGTAGAGTTAGACTTAAAGTGCTGCTTCTTGATTTTTAAATTTGACTAAATTTGACATTTTGTCATCGTTGACTCAAAGATCCCCCGCCCCCCAATCCCATGGCATCAAGGAAGTAAAAAGTATGCATAAATCTTTAAACGATCCTTTACATGGGGGAAAGAATGGATATATCAACTATCCTATTTATAAACTGGATTCCCAGTTTCAAATAAAACCAATGTTTACTGGTAAAAATTGTCAAAGCTAATTTACTCAAACAAATATTTCTAGTAAATAATGTTCTACATAGAGAATAATTTACTTTGGTTTTATGCACCTTCTCAAAAATAATACTAGTGTCCCATACATACATCACCAGACTGATGTGTTCCAGCAGTTGTAAGGCAAATCTTTTTTCCCTAGTGACATCTTGTTTCCCAACAGACAAAACTAAAATCTTTTGGTGAGGAAGGGGTTAAGATAATGGCTAACCCCTTGGCATCCTGAGCATTGTGGTTTATCAAACTCTACCCTGCTAGAAGTTGTCAGGCACCCCGACCCCCCGCCTTGAACCAAAAATGGCTCCCATATCTAGAGATGCCCTGACTCCTTTTAAGTAGCTCTCAGAATTTTGCTTCTTTTTTCTTTCTGTCTGGATGTTAGAATGTCTAACAAAGCTGGTTGCAATATCACATTTTGCTAGTAGGGGCCACCATCTAATAATTGCAATATGAAATGTTTTAAGCCAATAGTTCCTAATTTTATCATATATCTGCACTAGAATTTTCTCTACAGAGTTTACTTGGAGCATAGATCCTTAACTTAGGTTTCAGAAGACGTGTGATGCCCCTGAGGTTGTACAAAAAATTATCTGTGTATGTGCATTTTTTTTCCTGGAGAAAGGGTCTATCACTTTTGTCAGATTATCAAAGGTATCTATGATCCCCAAAAAGGATTACAGGGACTTAGAGGAATACCCGTAATTCATTTTATACCATGATTGGAAATTGGGGGCAGAAAATGAAAAATAGCCTCCAAAAAGAGTTGAGGGAGGCAAATGTTGATCTCTCTCTTTATTCATATTTGGGAATTAAGTTCTTCAAACTAGGAAAAAAATTAAACTGGTTAAACTCCATTTAAAAATAAAGCACTTTCTAAAAATTTTTTTTCCATATGGGGTAAATTTAGCCTCCAAGAAAAAGTTTGGAGACTGAGTTTCCCTCTTTTCCTAAAGGAAATTCATAGATATAATGCTGAATATCATCCACATTTAAAGACCTGACAACACAAAAATTAGGTAACTGTGATGATGTGAGCCTTTAACTTGTGATTTGTATAGGATCATGTAGAGTCAAATCCACATCTGTTAACCTTTGTACCCCCAAACTGGTTCATAGTTAGGTAACTACAATTCCACTAGATAAACCTAAAATCTAGACAATGGAAGTTAAATTTTCTAGTCAAATTAAAAACAAAGCTGTGGGTTCCACAACAGAATCTGGCCACAAACATTCACACCATGTTATAGAGGACATTCTCATTTTAAATACACCATCAAATTTTCAACAAAATTTGCAAATATAAGATCCAGGGTGACTAGCAAAACATGCTGAGAGGAGTATGTCAAGAATTAAAACACCTCCCTTCTCTCCAGAAACATATTCAGACATTCTGAAAATAAGCCATAACTGAAAGAGGCCTCTCATTTGTCGGTTTTAAGTATGTAAAAATTATGGGGAAAGGAATATTAAATGAAATAACTAAATAACTTAAAAAAGCCAATTTTAGCCAAAAACACATCTCTCTGTTCTATTGACAAAATTATTGCCAAATCTTCTCTTTTTTGCAATTATGAACACTGTGTTACACAATCTCACTAAGACAAAAAAAAATATGCTTACAGGTACACTTTTTGTTCTTTTCTTTAAGGTTTTAAGACTGTCTCTGGTTCTCTTATCCCTTGCTGCAAGCTGCAACCCCCCCAAACATGAGTCAATCCTGAATTCCAAAAAGCAATAGTCATTTAATTGACTATTGCAATACCAATTATATCATACAGATCATGAAGAAACTATAGGAACATCATCAAAAACTATATGGAAGAGGCAGATGCTATTTGCCACCTACTTCACTTCCAGTTTTTAAAGCATGTACCCAGTAAGACTCAGGCCTCACTGAATAAAGTGGAAACAGACCAACACTCCAAAACCAGGCTATCCGAGGCTGGATGTTAGATCTCAAAGACAAATCTATCCTAAGCTTTTACTTTATTTAAAATGTTTAATAAAGCTCACATTTACAAAGGATTTTATTGGCAAATCAAGGGCCTTATTAAAATATTTATCAAAACAAATTTCTGTATTACATATCTAAAATTAAATATTTTCTTAGTTTTAAAAAGTATATTTAATTGCATATACATTTTGCTTTAGGAGGGATATTGAAAACATAATTCTGCAAGAAATTAGAAAAGACTAGAAACAAAAGTGAAAGTGACTAGTCTTTAACTTTCAAAAAATCAAGTGCAAAGATATATAGTGCAAACAATGAAAAATAGTAATTTTATAGGCAACTTTACATAGTCTTTCCTACTTTTACATACTGACAACTTTATAAACCCCAATAGCTATGCAGCATGGAAATGGGCTATCATTTATTTCCACTGACTAGACTCAAGGAAGCCTTTCAAAGACTTGTCTCAGAGTTATTTAAATCACTGGTTCTTGACACAGGTTTGAGAATTCACTTCTTTTTACACCAATTCCTAAGGGAGGGGCTACTTAAGAAGGCTCTGCACTGACTTAAGTTATAGTATGTTACTGTATTATAATTTAAAATGTGACACACAATAAAATGTGAAAATTATACTAAGTGCTAACTTTATAAAATAAGCAATATAAAAAAAATCACCCTATTGTTAATGAAGTTGAAATGTGTAAGAAAGGAAAATTACCTTCCAAGTACAAAATCAGAACCTCTTCTTGGGGGTTATTTTTAAAGAGATTTTTAAAATGAATGTACAGAGACCTGATTAAAATGGAACTTAAAAGTATTATCAAAGTCAATGGGAATAATTCATACTAAATTTGCCAACAAAGAGTTAATCCAAATATATCTGAATTATGTAATTTTTAAAAATATTATAGCAATTCTTTATCTTAAATAATTTAAAATACTCTTGGGACTATGGGGACAGAATATTAAATGGTCATCTCACTCTATAAAGGAACAAAAGAACCTCCAAGATATACTAAATTATATAATTAACATCTGCCACCACCAACAAACTCTTGGGAAGTCTACAATTTTAAAATAAGAGAAAAGGTGGAAAAACAAATAGAAACATGAGTTTAGGGAACATAGCGTCTAATTTCAGAAATACAGTATTATGAAGGCATCAGAAAGTTCACAATATTAAATGGTTGCCAAAAGTATAAATGTAAAAGAAACAGATAAGATACCTAAAATTACAACTTAGTGCTTTTACCCGATACTTCTAAGAAATTAATATGGACCAAATGCTACAGTTTATGTAATAGGAAGGCTCTTTCGACACAGATCTGAAGGTAAACAACACTGTGACAAGAGCCCAAGAAAATATAATCTGTAAAGATAAATATTACTGACAGTTTAAAAATGGTAACTGTGGAAAAGTTTGAAACTTTTATATCTTCTTTTTTTCAAAATATTAAGTCCTTAGCACCAACTTGCCATTACTAGAAAAGCTGCCATTCCAATTATGCTATTTAAATTTGTCCCAGAAAAGCAAACATCTTATACACAGAAACAGATTTGTATAATGCATCATCATCAACATCATCATCATAACTAGCTACTGACCAACAGTTTTCTCTCAACCAACAAGGAACCCATTTTCTCCAGCATTACTGAAACCTCCTTAGTAAAGATCAACTTAATTGTTCTTAGCAAACAACTCCATAAAGACTTCATCTTAGCATCTTTTCCTAATCCAATAAAAACTCCTCCCAATTTACATCCAAACCATTCCCTTATGTACTTCTCATACCTCCATCCACAAACATTTTAAACAGCTTTCCCTTTCTTGCTTTCAAACTTCCAAACCAATGTCTCAGTTCCCAGAAACTTAAGTAAAAGACACATACTTCTTACGCTCAATTCAAAATTTCTTCACACTAATTTAGATGCTCTTCAAATTGTCCATTTAAATCTCAAGGGGGAAAACAGCAGAAAAAACTGCCCCATTACCTCATAATATAGAAATCTCTGTGGATCATCAGTTAGCTATTTTCTAAGGCAGGAGTCAGCCATTTCTTTACTTCTTTCTGAAGAGGGTAAGCTTGAATGCCACTGGCAGGCCTATGACAAGAATAAAGAAGAAAAAGAAAGAAACAAGGAAAAAGTCTAGGAGAAACAAGATGTCAGATGTATAAAATAAATGATAGCTTAAAGCCGCCAACACAACTAATTTAGCACTGGAAATTGCCAATCTACTCCAGCTGACTAGGAGTTTGACCCACCTCAATATAAGTTTAATAAATCACTACCTGATGGTAGTCACTGTTTGAGTAGTAAAGGTGCCTAGAAGCCACCTATGCCATAACTTTAACTGACACTTTAAAACATTATCTTTTCTTACATCTTCCTAGAAGCCTTCTGGTTAATATATCTTAGATCAAAATACGTACTAGCAAGAATATTTCCACTTTTTTCACAAATCTAGAAGGTCTTGGTTCTTAAACTTGGAAGTCTCCTGATTATTACAGTAGACCCTAAATAAAAACATTTTTCATTAAGTGTTACAAAAATTTTTCATTAAGTGTTACAAAAATTTAATAAGTAAATCACTGGTAATCATCAAAACATGTTTATGAAAGCACAAAAATCCTGTGACTCCAAAATTAATGAATTATTTCTGATCCATAAAACTCTTACATAGACAATCACCACCATGTTTCTACCTATCAGTCAGACAATGTACCACAACAGCAAAGGATGTCAGGAAAAAGAAAGGAAACAATAAATACCAAATGTAATATGGATATAAAATAAAATATTGAATGTGTAGCTAAGAAATTCTTGTTTAAAAAATGCTTTTACTAAGTAACCTTTGCCATACTCAGCTTTCCTAAAAAAAAAAAAAAATTGTCTATATCCTTTAACATCAAAATCTGGTAGTCAGTTTGGCAAATGAAAGATGACAAAGTCTTGGCTTGGCACCTATCACATTTTCCACAGTTCACCTGGTTGGTCTTGCATCTTGAAATTCTACCTGACTCAGACTAGTGCTAGTCTAGATCATCTTCACTTAGCCCACATTAATGAAATTTTCATTAAAAAAAAGAAAAGCCAAATGGCCTAGGCCTTAAACTTGGGTTTTGCTTTACGATAAAATAATTTCTTAAATATTAAAATCACCTTTTCTTAAAAGTACATTGCAAAGTCTGCAAAGATGATTCTATGGTAATTAATACTGCTGGGTAGAAACTAATTTTAATAGCAATGATCACTTTGGTTTTATGGTGTTTTTCATTACAAGTAGCCTAAATCTGATTAATATACAATGAAGAAAATAGAAATATATGACAAATTGATAAAATTTAACACAATTTTGCAAACAACTTTGGTGAATTTGCTTAAGCAATTCCAAAATAGTCTCTCTCCTATTTATCCCACTCATGACAAAGTATATAATACATATATTTCTAAACTATTATGACATTCCAAGTTAGGGATAATCAAGTATAAATGTTATAATCAGAGTCATCATCATTTCAAATTTAAGTTGCTAAAGATGCCCTTGTTTTAGCATTCTTTTATATAGAAAGCAAGAGCTCACTCTGATATTCAAAAGAATTTTGAAAAGGAAGAAAGTCATTAGACTTAGTATCTCATTTTATGGGGAAGAAAATCTTACAAGTACATTCACATGTTTAAATGAAATTGTGGAACTATGAAAGCTACCAGAGGGCTGAGGATAGAGCTCAGTGGTGCAGCGCCTGGCTGGCAAGAGCAAGGCCCTGAGTTTAATTCCTGGAACCAAAAAAGAAAATAGTAAAAAAAAAAAAAAAATTCAAAACTCTCCATTCTAAAATCATCTGGAAATGTGTGTGTGTGTAATACAACATAAAAAAAAAATGTGTGGGAATACTGTAGAAGAGAGGGTGTGAGCCATGTACGGGAGATAAAAATAATAATGCTCATGGCGGGGTCACCATCACTGGTAGATAAATTAAAATGTCATAAAAGATAAATGTGTTAGTTTGGAAAGTTTCACAGTGCCAAAACACAGAATGTTAAAGCACAGAAACAAAAACCAATGAGATAACTGCTCCAAACACCAAGTTCCATATGAAACCAGGAAGAAAATAGTTGGCATGGCATCTTTTTAAAATATACAGTATTAATTCTTAACTGACTTATAAATGATATAAAGTGCTTGGGCCATCCTACCCACCCAGATTCTCACTATCAACAGATTTATCTTTCCCCCTCCCTTCCACCCAAATTTAGTTCCATTTTCCTGCAGAAAAAGTATAGCATCCCTATGTTAATAAGAAATGAAAACAGTGAGTACAACTGATATAGATCCATTGACTTTTATTACAAATGTACTTGATCACTTGGCTTCAAAAAGTTTAAAATCAATACCCTATTTTCTGTATGCCAGTACAAAGCAAACTGTTTTACAAATTAAATACCTAAAAATTTGACAAAAATATTAAAATTTGATGAAAAACAATTATAAAAATCCTTAATCTCTCTCTTCAAAAAGGAGGCAGTCTTCCAAGTCTTATTATACAATATTAATAATATTCACCATTTTTAGAATAGGTAGCTAAATTATATTTTTCTTTCAGCATAAAAAACTCTTAAACTAATATTTTATTTGTATATGCTCCAGTTAAGTTTGTGAATGCCATCTGATTGCAATATAGTTCATCTCTCTTTAATTGAACTCTAATTTACACGTATTTAATAATTTGCATAGTTTGAAAGGGGTAAAGGTTATTCTAAAACTAATTACCATAGGCTATTACAGTGCTATTTTTCAAGGCAATAAGTATTTGCTCTCAAATGAAATTATCTGTCTTCTTAGGCAGGGTTTAAAAATGCTAGCAGCTTTCTCCATTACCTGAAAAATCAAGCTGGAACAGTTACCCATCTCTGGATATAAAGGCCTAAAAAACACTGATACACTTTCCATTTTGAGTCAAATTTCAACACCTGCACAGGACAACTAGAAAGTGAGACTTAAGGGTTTTTAAATTTCCCTGTTGATTTTGGTTTTTACTTTCCATGGCTTTTGAGAAGCTGGAAAACAGTTTGTCTTTCCTGACTATAGCATTCTGTTTTTCCATTTGGCAAATATGCATCTATCTCCAATCTGTATTTAGTAGAGGAAAAGCCGATATGGCTTTTCTTATGAACTTCCTTTGTTGTCAAAGGCAAGTATAATGATTTCTACAGTTCTGGTTAGTTAACTTTAGCTCCCTCTGTGGCTGGATGACTGCTTCTAACATCAGCATGATAAATAGGAGGTACAAATAAAAAGTAGCTTAAAAAAAGATTTGGTGATTTAAAATGAAAAAAAACCTCACAATGAACAACACCAAACACACACACAAACACACACACACACACACACACACACACACACGCATTTCAAATCTGGTGGCTGACCTCTGGATTAAATTACTTGACAGTGTCTCTCATTTTAAAGAATGTCAATATTGAAATGCATATTCAAGTTTTCTTTTACTTAGGCAATAACATAGTTTAACCAAGCTCTTGGACCTTAATTATAAGACAATAGATCAATAAAAATAAGGCATACTCTTCAGGAATTAAGTTTTGTTTGCTTGTTTTTGGCACATTTGATCATACTGTCTTTGATGAATAACACATATGGTCAAATATACCATTTTTTTTCCAGCATAAACAGGGTTTACCAACTAGTAAAATAAAAACAAGGAAAAACTCCAACATAAAACACTGAGATATAGAACCTAGGTAAAGTACCGAGCACCTGGGAGGGGGAAGGTAGGGGAAAGATGAAAAAGGAAAGTAGAGAAAGGAAGGCTGGGAAGGTGTGTGGGGAGGTAAAGTGAGATGCTTTCAAAAAAAAAAAAAAAAAAAAAAAGCATCTTTACAGTCATTTAGTCTTTCCTATGATCATCTCTTAAGTCTTAAAAGATCTGCATGTGGATTTCTTTTTAAATCCACTGATCATAAATCAGACATGGTTTCAAAATCCTAGTAAGATTGTTTTCAACTGTTATAGTGTAAAGATAATTGCACAATACATGTGCTTCTTGATCCGGTAGGATTCCAAGCAGAATCTGAAGTCTGTAAGTTAAGAAAGGCTTCACTTTAGGTAACTCTGACCCTAAAGAAAACCTCATGAAAGAACTGACATCTCAAAGGAAGGACACTTTGCCTAAGTTCGCTGTGTTTTGTTGACTTGCACTACTTATTGCTGGCTACTATGAAACACTGATCTAGGAGTACTCCAACAACCTGTAGTACAAGGCTTTACTGTAAGAAGTTATAGTAAACAAGAGACAAAATCAAAGCAATTCTCTTTCCTAATTAGTAATAGCACAGAGAATGCAGTCTTTTCCATATCACAGTTAAAGTACAGTGAACAAAACAGCTCAACAAACCTTAAGACAAAAAAGTGCAGGTTATTAATGTTTACATGCAGTTGATAAGCATTCCAAATGTCACATTGTGCACTGTAAAAGCTCAACTTTACTATACGGAAATAAGAAAAATGCACCTTGGGGAAGGGGAAAAGCAATTTAATCATTCCAGTGATTTTGTAAGTAAAGAAACTCCTAACTACTGTACGGTCACCTCATATTTAACATTGTATGAATATTAAAAGCAAACAATTTAACGGGGAAATGCACAGTACAATGAAAATAGCTTGTTATTCAACACATACAGTAGATCTCAAAAACAAAGACAACACACTCAACCAGGGAGCTTAAAAATACCAAATCAAAACCCAAAGAACCAGCAGAAAAAAAATCCTTCAAAAAGACAACTGTTTCACCTTCCCAGGCCAATGCTTTACAATAAGAGAAGCACCTTCTTTCCCCTCCTACAGGTGGAGTCTTCTACATACAGCAGTTAGATCTATATGGCTGGATTTGCCAAGAAACAATTCCATCCCCAGAGCTCTCTGCCAGATAAGTTCCAAGATCCTTTTCTTTTTTTTTTTTTTTTTTTTACCAAAATACTTTCTACAGAATTCCAAACCAAAATGTACTGTTTAAGGCATCTTTTTTATAACATTTTCTCTTCACTCAAAGATGATAGTCATGCAGCAGTTTAATGATAAAAATATATTAATATTTTACTATACAGCAGCAAGAAGTTAGTTGTCAATTAAAAGCACACAAACATCTTTAAATGAAAATCTGTAAAAGACTATCGTTACAAACAATTTCAGTATGGAGGACACCAGCTTAGTAAAGTGCTCTCCTAAGCTTTGCATTTTCATACCCTACACTTTGAATATATGAATTATAGAACATACTTTTGATAGAAGGCTTGTACATTTGGGGAACATAAATACACTTAGCATATAATGTAGCCAGTAATAACTAGCACCACAGCTACATGGAAATCCTTTACACACACCAACTTGGCTCTCACTTTTAAAACAAAACTCAGAATCCATGGCTCAGTAGGATAACTATAATTGTGTTGCTCTGCTTTTTAACAGGTCTACATAAGTTAATAGCACTGGCAAAAAAAAAAAAAAAAAAAAAAAAGATAGCTGCAGACCTCTTACAAGTTTAGGAGACAGTGCTAGTGACCACAAAGACTCACTACCTGATGTCCAAGTACAGGTTCACTGGAAATTGCTGCACGTTAGTTAAGTTTTTAAAATCTTTCTACATATAATAAAAAAAATATATTATGAACAATACAAGTACATCTCATATACACAATAATAACAAAACACCTACTCCGTCAAAGCAAACAGATGCATAAAAATATTATGGGAGATTTCCTCTATCTTTCTCTCTCCTTTTCCTTTTTCTATTTGAATAACTTTGGTTCCAACCATAAAAATCACAACTTAGCAAATTTCATTTAAATGCCTTTTTTAATAATTTCTTCATGTTCACAGAAGTTTCACTGACCATTTTTTACGGTCCAGATGCAATGCATATTGTATAAAAGAGAGCACTTATTGTTTACCTTGCATGAATTAAACCTACGTACCTTTAACTCTACAAACTTCTGCATAACATTTAGACAAAGCTCAGACACACAGCATGCCTAGCCCTCATATATATATACACATCTCTAATCACAGGTATATAGGGTGTCAAATATACTATAATAGCCTCCATGTAAGGTTTGAAATTTGGTAACAAAATGAGAAAAACTAAAAATATTATTTTACGTGTTCTAAAATATCTCTTTTTTGTGCTAAAGTCAAATGTTAGCTCAACATGAAAAGGACTTTTATATAATTCAGCAATATTATAATCTTGACCATTTTGCAAACACTTTTAATAATAGCTTAAACGTGTACAAAAGTTCTTGGTTAATTAGGGAAATAAACACTCAGTTCTTTATATTTTTAATCAAGTAGGAAACAGTTCATATAATGTTATTACTTTTTGTATTTTTTTTTGTTTTTTGTTTTTAGCAGCTGCTTACTGTTTCATATGGTGGATAAAGTGGACAACATCCAGCGCTGGGTGGCAAGTCACGAAGAGAAACTGTCAGTTGGTGGAGGTTCTGTGGGTGGTGCGCCCTTGGAGTTAACAGTTTTTTTTTTTTTTTTAAACTTTTTACTCTCTTTCTTTACAGTATATTTTCTCTGTGTCTGGCTGTGTGTGTGTGTATGCGTGTGTGTGTGTGAGTGTGTTTTCATTCAGTTTGATCAATCTTCTTCCCCTTCTTCCTCACCCTGCAGTAGCAGAGTGGCAGCAGCAGTCTCCTCCTGCTGCTGCTGCTGCTGCTGGTGCAGCTGCTCACAGGCAGCCCGCTTCTCCCTCTGCTTCTCTTGAATCTTCTTCATCTCCTCCGAGTACTTGCAGAAGGTGTGACCGAACTTGGCCCACACCTTGTAGGGCACGGTGATGGAGTTGCGGTAGGTGGGCTTCACCTCGCTCACTCGCATAAACACGCCGTACTTGTTGGAGCCCACATCGAAGAAGAAGCGCTTGTTGTCCACAGTCAAGGAGGTGCCCTCGGGCAGCTCGGCCGGCTCCTCCTCCACTCCATAGTCGTCGATGAGCTTGGCCAGAGCGTCGCGGAACTCGATGAGCCCCTGCGCGGGCAGCGCAATGGTCTGGCCCTGCGTGGAACCCAGGCCCGGCCCCCGGTTGACCGTCTGGCGGATGCGCAGGAAGCGGCCGCGCTGGTTTTCCTTGAGATCCATGTAGTACTTGCGGTTCTCACGCACCAGGAACTCGCTCTTGAGCGCGCGCCGCGGCCCGCCGCCCTCCTCGGCGCCCGCCGCCAGCTGCTCGGGGCTGCTGGGCCCGAGCTGCGCGTAGTGCTCGATGAAGTCGCCCAGCGAGTCGCGGAACTCGGCGGCCACCGCCATGGACAGCGTGAGGCGGCTCTTGGAGCCGCCCGCGCCCACCTCGGCGATCTTGAGGAAGCGGCCCTTGGCGTTCTGCTTCACGTCCAGGTAGAAGCGCTTGTTCTGGATGTCCA